AACAGCCAGACCAACGATCGTTGATAGGTGACTTGAACAAAGCATAATCTTCCATTAGTGAAAATAGGTAGATGGCCCATATTTAGTCAAAATAATAACATTTATCTATAACAATTGCAAATAGTTTTTGGTTTCGCATGGTCAGATTTTTACCACGTTCGGTCTTCAAGCTTCTTAGAATTGTTTTTATTTGGGCAAATAATTTGAACATATTCATACGAATTATTTTTGTTTTTGAGGATGTTAGAGAATCTACTTTTAAATATTTTAAAAAAAGTGAGAAATGTTGAATTGAAATACACAAGAAAGATAGGAGATATTAACAGAACTCGTTAACTAATTAACACAGACAGATATACCGGATGCACAAAATGTAGAAAATTATTACGACACATGTGGAATTTAAGTGACCGTCTACCTTGGTTATGTCTTTTTCCACTTCCAATTATGACCGTGATGGACAGGAGCTGTTGCAGTGCACATGATCTTCAAAATCAAATCGGAACTGCATCACCTTGATTGTTTGGATACTTCCGGTGTAGTACTCCGTAGCTTAAGGTTGGTCGTTCTTTGTATTTGTCGGGTTTCTGTAACCGCCTGTCTTAGCAGAAAACGTGAAGGTTAACCTGAAAAGGGAATATATTTTTGTAATTTTTTTAGTTATTTGACATACACTAATGTTTTCGCCCATTGTTACAAAAAGGAGATGAAGTGACATTCACAAACTATACGTATATCTAGTTACAAAGTTAACAGGATTTTCTCATTGTTTTGCACTAGTTTTTTTTTATTATTGGCAGGTAGGTTTGTTCTCAGAACGAAACATTATGGTCGTTGTTCTGGTTGTACAACACAAAATGAATTCTATGGACAGACTTATACAATTTGGTGTAAAATACCTAAAACCGCGTGCAGTTTCAATACCATCGTAGAAAAAATAATTTGGAGGTGTTTTAAATCATTATTACATATATGATACTCTTACATGTACCAGTCTCCGGAATTTATTCCTAGATTAAAACTCTCTTCTCTCATTCTACTTTTCAGCTGTGTTTGTGAAAGGATTTGAGGCTGATAAGCCCTGGCAGCTGAATGTTTTTCTCTGAGAAGGTACATCTTCTCTGTGGGTCATCCCTGAAAAAACAATTTGAATTTGATGGAACAAATTATAGCGTTTGGTATTGCCAATATATAACCCTACCAAATCTACTTATTCATATAGGCTATGGATACAATGGACCGATTGTTGACGTCATCATTATTATGATATCATAAATTTTATATTGGAAACCACTAACCCTTCCTAGGCGATGGCTGTTCTAT